GATGGTGGTAATGATGATGGTAGTGGTAATGATGATGGTACTGCTCATGATGGTGGTTGTGGTGATGATGGTGATGATGGTCGTGGTGGTGGTGATGATGGTAGTGGTAGTGATGGTGGTAATGATGATGGTAGTGGTGGTGATGGTGATGATGATGGTAGTAGTAATGATGATGGTACTGCTCATGATAGTGGTTGTGGTGATGGTGGTAATGATGATGGTGGTGGTGGTGGTGATGATGATGGTATTGGTGATTATAGATGATGGTGGTGGTGATAATGATGGTAGTGGTGGTGATGGTGGTGATGATGATGGTAGTGCTTGATGATGGTAGTGGTGGTGATGGTGATGATGATGGTAGTAGTAATGATGATGGTACTGCTCATGATAGTGGTTGTGGTGATGGTGGTAATGATGATGGTGGTGGTGGTGGTGATGATGATGGTATTGGTGATTATAGATGATGGTGGTGGTGATAATGATGGTAGTGGTGGTGATGGTGGTGATGATGATGGTAGTGCTCGTGATGGTGGTGATGATGCCTACAGTAGTTGAGAAAGTGGCATAAGTAAGGGAGGTAATGAAGGTAAAATGATGTCATGGTGGTAGAGACGAGATAAAAGGACAGGGAAAGGCGGTCATGTCACTAACGTGTCATATATACTCCTTTTCGTTCTGTGAAGAGCCACTTGGCTACTTGCCTGATGGGAGCTGAGTGCTTATCCCAGGAGAATTCTAGGTCTCCTAGATGCAGGGACCAAGGGGAAGAGACAGACCCTGTGCAGCTCATGTGCACAGCATAATTATATCACTTCATAAGGACTGTAGTCATACTGGCCTTCTCACACCATGGGGTCTCGGCATGCACAATGGGGAAGCCATTCTCTACTCTGCAAGGGGCAGAGCTCCCTCTGTTTTTGTGATACTGGGCACAGGGGTATCTTGGAAAATAGATATAAAGCTACCATTTTCCCTCATCCTCATCCAAACTGTTGCTTCTAGAATACGTTCACATAATGATCTCACCCCCAAAGCTCTCAGTGGGGAGACACTGAGGCTCTAGGACCCTCTGTTCCATCATCCATAACCAGCCCCCAAGGACCTGTGTCAGGCACCTGAAAACTGGCTTTCCCTGAAGCAAAGATAAACCAAACAAGCAACTTGGGAATCAAGCTCAGAATCTTCACCTCAGCAACACAGCATCCAAACCATGTACCACAGTAGCAATTCCTTAAGGAAAATCTGTTTGAAATATCCAAAGAAAATCAGTAAAGCAGCCAAATTCTGATCAGATCGAAGTTCAAAATCCAGAGGCTCAGGCACCAGGCCTGACCCAATTCACTTCCTGGTTCTGAGAATTTTCCACACTCACAAGAGGCAAGGTAAACAGAAGAGGAGGAAGGTTTGCTCAGAGCTCTTTCACGTCCCTGAATCTCTCTCACCTCTCACACTTCCCATGATCCAGAGGCAGCACACGACCCTGACACAGGAGGAAACTAAAGCAGCAGAGTTAACACCAGTGGGGTGCTGGAGGATGAGTGCCATTTCCTAAAAATGAGCTAGGACAAGTGACATTCATTATGGACAGCCTGTCCCTCTCAACCACTAGAAATCCCAAAGCCGGGGAAGCAAGGTGCTCTGGGCAACGAGAAGCTCAGCAATGCTTGGTCCTTCCATCTTCCTCCCATCCCAGCTTCTGACCTGGACCCAGGGGAGGAAAAGAGGGATCTGGAGACACATGTGATGGATTGCAGACTCTCTATTCTCACAGCATTCTATTTTTCTGATTTGAGGCCTGTGTTCCCAACTTTTCTTCCTACATTCTTTTCCCAAGGAAGAAAAAACCCAACAAAAACACCTAAGCCCTCATAAAGATGATCCAATTCTAGCTCCTCAGTATTTAACACCAACAGACAAGCTGCAAGTAGACCCCACCCAGACAGAGCATAAGGCCTCTCCACCTAGACAGGTGGCCCACGATGAATAGCTCCTCCACCTGATCCAATTCTAACCTCAGAGGGAGGGAAGCCAAAACAGGCATGGTGTTGTGAGTACAGGCAGCAGGCGGGGGGCTCAGAAGAGAAGGGGAACCCATACTCACAGGACTTCGGTGCACCAGCCAATACGCCTTCTCCTGGCAATCCAGCGCATACCTGTCGGCCTTGTTCCTTTCCTTTCCAGTCCTAAAAACCAAAGTCATGTTCAAGACCAGGAATGTTTTGCATCTTTGGTCTATGCCGGCATCCATTCTTGATGACCTGGACTACTCTCCCCATCTGCCCAAATAGTTCATGAGTTCCTTAATGATAATAAATATAGCAGACACTAATAATACATTCACGCACCAGGTACCATTCAAATTACTTTTGCATGTACTAACTCATTTGATCCCAAGGATCTTTTCCCAACCTCACAGTTCTGGAAACAAAAGCAAAAAGGAGTTAAATGCCCTACTGGGGTCACACTCCCAGCACATGGCAGAAGTAGGACTTAACTCCTGGAGTCTAGGGCTTGGTCCAGCTCTCCCTGGTGGTACTGGATAGCAATGAGCTAGATATGTCACCATGACCAGCTCTAGAATCAGATCAGTGTCACCAGCTTTACCACTGAAGTGATCAGAGATGACTGTGTGGGCCTATATTTGATGCCAACTTCATGCTGATTTCCCTGCTTGAGCTGTCCCAGGGGAGTCGCTCCCTACCTGTCAGTCCTTCTCTGTCACTGCAAAGAGTTGGTGCTGAATCAGAGCTTTTTCTGAGTTCAGCCGGAGACAATAAAAGAGGTTATGCTTGTCTATCTATTGCCCCTTTGCCATTACGGGAAGGAAATGATGCTGGCTTCCCTCCTCCAGAAGGGAGCAAACGCTCATTATCATGCGGAGGGTGCTGTTCGGTTTTACTTCCAGGGCTAGCTGCATTCACATTTATTAACGCCCGTTTTCCCAGGCAACAGGCAACATGAGATGACGCACATGCCCTCCTCATGACACAGTTGGTGGATTTATTTCCCCGTTAATGTACTGTGAATAACATAATAACATCCAGAGAGCCAGATGAACAGCACCATTCCAGCAGGGTGCTTTAACAACCTCCTCTGGAAATTAAATGCAAATACTGTCACTCTGGTTTCCCCTTAACAATCTAACTAGATTTTCCACCAGGTTAACTAGCCTGAGTCCTCAGGAGGATGGGCCACAAGCAGCCTGAAGTATGTATGGTTTCTCTAATACTGAACAGTCTTGTAAATAGAACCAGTCTCTAATGACCCTGGTGGTTCTTTCTGGCTTTGTCATCAGCATCTCTGTGGTAGATGTGAATGGAAGAGTCGTGACAGATGGAATCCAAGGCAGTCAGTAAACCGGGCATTATTCTAGTTGGTCATATGACTTTGCACAATAGCATTTGTTTAACCTTTCATTCATTCATGGATTTATTGACCTCCCACTATGTTCCAATTACTGGGCGTCTACTGGAAGCCAAAATATAGTGCCAGCCTATGAGTAGTTTTTGTTCTAAGCATTACACAAATAGTCGAGAAGCAAATGTAGAATTGCCAATGGCATTGGGTCCTACGAGAAAACATTCAGGGTACTATAATACAGAAACAAGGATGGTCTCCGTAGTGGTTCTGAGATATTTCTCCATGCCCTTTTTGATGGAGGGATCTATGTCCCCTTCCCTTGTAGCCAGATGGATTTATGAGATGGTTCTCACCAACAGAGTATGGCAGACACAGCATTATAATTTCTGAGGCTGAGCCACAAAAGGTGGGGCAGCTGCCACACTGCCATAGGAGAAGAGGAGGAGGTAGTGGGGAGGAGGAGGCAGGGGAGGAGAAGGAGGAGGGGGAGGGAAGAGGGGAACAGGAAGAGGAGGACGAGGTGGGGAGAAGGAGGGGAGGAGGAGGAGGAACTCAAACATAACAAAAAATACCCCACCTAGTTTGGCAGTGGGAATCTAAATCTGAAGTCAGAGGCCTTTGAGTTAAGTTGTGGAGTTAGGAGGGAGCCAGCATCTCAGAAGGAAAGAACGTTTTGGAGCTGGAGAGATGGATGAGTGTCTAAGAGCACTGGCTGCTATTGCAGAGGGCTCAGGTTCAGTTTCCAAGATAACAGCTAACAACCATCCATAACTCTAATTCCAGGGGATCTGATGCCATCTTCCGGCCTCTACAGACACTGCATGACACAGGTACCCATACATACATGCAGGCAAAACACTCATACACATAATATATAAATAAATAAATTTTAGGAATGCTTCTCCCACAGCACCTAGAAGTGAATAGAGGAGGGGAAGTTTCCAAGAGCCTAGGGACTCAGAGAGTTATCTAGGGCTGGCGAGGGAAGAGGGTGGGAGCCACTGAGAACAGCTCTGAGCTGAGGAACACCTTCAGCACCTAGAAGGCTTATGTCAGTGTTCGTGGGTGGATGGAATCATCTCATTCAGAACCCAGAGGTGGAAGAGTGTTTGGAGGGGCTGAAGAGTTAGGCATAGCTCTACCTCTGCATTCCTGGGACCAGTGTGCTGCTGGAACCCATTAGGAATGCAAAATTGGAACACTAGATGGAATTGAATCATTTTAGCCTAAGTCTTGCCACTGCCTCACCAAGTGACTTTGGCCAAGTAATTTTAACTTCTCTAAGCCTCAGTTGTCCATCTAAAAGTGATAGGAGAAACAATAATTATAACTATAAGCATTTCCTCTAGACAAACTTAAAAGAAGATAGTATTCAGGAACACCAAATGAAGCCTTGTAAACAAATATTGATGACAGATTAGAGCCCCCCCCCATGTTGTTTCATTGTTAGCCACATGTAAGAAAATTTAGTGGCTAAAGGGCCACTAATGTTGGCCACTAATGACAGCTCTCTTGTTAATGCCCCATGAATGTATGATGGCTAATCTTTATTAGTAACTTGACTGGATTAGAATTACCTAGGAGTCACACTTCTGGCCATGACCATGTAGGTATTTCCAGTAAAGTTTAACTCAAGTGGAAGGACCCACATGGAATGCGGGCTGCACCACCCCATGGGGTAGACTGAATAAAAAAGATGAAAGCAAGCTGAGTACCAACATTCATCTCTCTGCTTCCTGAGTGTGACTGCAATGTGACCAGCTGCCTTGTGCTCCTGCTGCCTTGCCTTCCCTACCATGATGAATCATTCCCTCAAACTGTGAGCCAAGATAAATCCTTTTCTCCTGTGTATAATACTCCCACTTTAATTCGTAGACTGCTTTACGAGAATCAGATTTCTACCCAACTGTCATAGGTAAGTCTGGACCTTCCATGATGCCACCCACTTACAGTAAATGAGGCTGAGGCAACTAAAATGATCTGTTTGGTAACCTCTAGTGCATGTCATCACATATTCCTTGGCTCTTTCACTTCTCAAGTCCCTGAATAAGATGGTACCTCCCTGCCCCCACTGCCCTTTGAAATTGAACATAAACCTGCTTTGCCAAGTGAGTTGTGAGCAGGGGTGATAGGGGACACTGATCTACACGGGCTTTCTCATCTCTACCACAGCAATGGACAAATCCCGGACAGTGCGTACCCTTCCAAATGGATCCTGGAGTAAGAGAAGATATGTAAACTCTAGATGACCTACAGTAAACATGAAGGTAAATGAGAAGTAAACCCTGCAGGGAGATGGCTCAGTGGATGAAGGAGCTTTCTACAATTTGTACTCTGTTCCAGCCACAGGGAGTGTATGATGGGACATTCTCCTGCCTCCAGGCTCCAGTTTTGTCTGCATGGAGCACATTTCCTCCTCTTGCCTTTCATCCACCATCACCATTCTTCACCTGGATAAATCCCACACAGCTACGGGGTTCAGTGTCTCTTTTGCAGCTCCCTTGCAAACCCCTGCTGCATGATCTCCATGTCACAGTGCCATCACGGCCTGCTCACTCATCCGCCTGACTCCCCCAACCTGTGTCCTTTTGTTCCCTATGCCTAACCTAGTGTTTAGCTCATAGATGCTCACTAGAGGCTGGTTTTGATCAAAGGAAATAGCTCAGTTGGTAAAGTTTTTACATGAGGACCAGAGTTCAGTCTTGCAGAACACACATTTTAAAAAATACCAGGAATGGTAATATGTGCTTATAATCCCAACACTAGGGAGACAAAGACATGCAGATGCCTGGGGCTCCCTGGTCAGCCAGCCTAGACTACTTGAAGAGCTCCAGGCCAGTGAGAGGCCCTGTCTCAGAAAACAAGTCACCTCAGGGACAAGAGTAATGTCGTCTGGCCTTTACACACCCAAATACACATGTACACACATATGTGCCCTCACACGTGCCCCTTACACATAAGAGCACATATGCATGCACATGTACACATATACACATACCAAAACAATTCAAATTTAAGTAGAATAAAAGGAACCAAGAAGGAGGGAGGAGAGGGCAGCTGTGATTCTTCCACTCACCGGAACTGCTCTTTGGCCTGCATAATGACAAAATCCCACTTATAGTTAATTTTTTTGTTCAAGAAATCATAATTTTCCTAGAAAAGAAAAAACAAAAATGAGAACAGTGAGTCCTACAGGATAGGCCGCAAGCTGCAGGGCAGAATGCCCCAGCACAGCAAGAGATAACCCTGGCTCCCTGCAATCAAGGATCCAGCTGAAAGTCGCCCCCACAAAAAACTTTACAACAGCACCCACGAAATGAGCAGGATGGACTCTTGAAAACCTTCACTGCAGGACTTTGCTTTATTATTCCAAATCTAATTAGGGAAAAAAGACAGGGATACACATGGGTATCAAAATTCTACCCAACAATGGAACTCAAAGAGCCACAGTGAGTCAGGCCTGGTGGTGCGGGCCTGTAATCCCAGCTACTCAGGAGGCTGAGGCAGGAGGATCACAGGTTCAAGGCCAGCTTTGGCAATTTAGTGAGAATCTGTCTTAAAATTTAAAAAAATTTTAAAAGATCTGAGAATATAGCTCAGAGCATTTACCTACCATGTGTGAGATCTTGGGTTCAAGCCCCAGTACTAAAAGAAGGAAAGAAGGAAGGAAGGGAGGGAGGGAGGGAGGGAGGGAGAACGGGAGGGAAGGAGGGAGGTTGGTCTGCAAAGTATGTATGAAAATAACACAATGAAATCTATTATTTTGTACAATTAAAATATGCTAATAAAAATCCACAAGATTAGTCCTAATGCTGAGGTGATGTTGTCTCTTCTAAACACAGCAAGATTGTTTCCTCTGCCAGAAATGTTAATCAGTTTTTACTGTCAATTTTACACACCCTAGAGTCACCTTGAAAGAGAGAACCTCAACGGAAGAATTTCACAATCAGATCGGCCTGTGGACTATCTGTAGGGCCTTGTCTTCGTTGCTAATTGATGTCAGATGGCCCAGCAGCACGTCCTGGGCTGTGTAAGAAAGCTAGCTGAGCACAGGCCAGTGAGCAAATCAGTGAGACACGTTCCTCCACAGCTTCAGCTTCCGTTCCTTCCCTGACTTCCCTCAATGATGAACTGTGAACCGGAAGTGTGAGTGAAATAACCCCTTTCCTCTCCCAGTTGTTTTTGGTTATGGTGTTTATCACACCAACAGAATGAAACCAGGACAACTTCTAGGTTGTCTTTCCTATTGTTTTTATATCATAAGCAATTTAAGCTATGTTAATCACATTGTGATTTAAACTATGTTAATCAAGATTGTGTGCTATCGTGTATATTAATTCATATCATTTTAGTACAACAAAAGGAATGGGGCAGCCACAGTGTGCCCAGCAACCACCAAGGCAAAGGCTTAGAACAAGAGAAAACCCAAGCTAGATAGGGGAAGAATTTGCTTCAGTAAGTTGCTTCTAAGTAAATCAGTGGCTGGCTGGATGGATGGATAGATGGATGGATGGTAGATGGACAGATGGATGGTTGAATCAAAGCATGAATGGAATGATGGGTGGAATGGGTGAGTGGATGGGTGGGAGGATGAATGGATGATGGATGGATGGATGGATATGGATGGATGGGTGGATGGATGATGGAGGGAGGATAAATGGTGGATGCATGGCAGCTAATGGATGGATGGATGGATGGATGGATGGATGGATGGATGGATGGATGACAGATGGGCGACAGATGGATGTAGTAATTTAGGGAAGAGGGAAAAACGACTCATGACTACATTCCACTCTATTGCATTACTCCACTTAAAAACATCTCTGTACCTTTTCATATTCTTCTAAAATCCCTTTCTTCTTGATATTTCTCTTGGCTAGATAGATGGCTGGAAAAGAAAGTAACATCATTTTCTATCACATTTCAAAAGCCCCTGGGTAGTTGGAAAGGATGCTCAGCTAACCATGTCCCTTCTCCTCCCGCTTCCCCTGCCTCCTGGGACACTCCCAATATAGATGTGAGCTGACATAAAAGTCATGATGACAGCAAGACAAAGGTCACCCAAATGCAACATGCAAATAGGCAGCATGTTGGGCAAAAGCAGAGGCATCAGAGTGAGTAAAGTATTTACCATAGTCGGTGTCTTCAGCTGGCCATTGCTGTGTGGGCCAGAAATATGGTGTCTACAAAAGAAAGCAGGGGAACCATGCTTAGCCACTGGGTTAGGACCTCAAGAACCCCCAGCCTTGGAACAAGAGAGATAACACTACCTTATCCCCACCACCATTTCTAGATTCCTGATCACTAAGGATACGAAGCCAATTGATTATCTATCCAAGTAAGATCTCCTCCACGTTAACACCTAAAACTCAAGGCTAAAACTCACCTGAAACCTGTAGAGACTGCCATCAGGCTTGAGGATGAGATTCTTGGGGTCTTGCAAGGGATAAATGTAGCCATACTTGACAATAAAGTTGCCCAAGTTCTGTGCCTCTGGGGAAATGGAGTTTCCAAACAAATATTAAAAGCAGGGCCAAAGCCAGAAACTCATGGCCCAGCCCCCACATAGCCCCCCAAACTCTAGGACAGTATCCCATCCTAACATCACAGCACTTAAGGACTATGACAGAGGTTCTTATTTTTTAGACTGTATTTTCACCGGGGAGGAGGGTATGAGTAAGATGTGTTCCTCCACAGTTCCTCTGTATACCCATAAGTGTGCATGTCAAGGCCAGAGGCTGATGTCAAGTGTATTCCTCTATCACGCTCCACCTTGTTTTTTCAAGACACAGTCTTTCACTGAACCTGGAGTATGCTGTATCTGCTAGACTAGCTGGCCAGGAAACCCATCAAATCTCTACTGTCTCACTCCCACCCCACCGCCCCCGCCAGCACTGGGGTTACAGGCTGCTATGGTTATGGGCTGCTATGGCCAGCTTTTCATGTGGGTGCTGTGGATCTGAACTCAAGTCCTCAAGTTTGTGGGGCCAGTATTTTACCCACTGAGAAATCTCCCCAGCCCATGCCTCTGCTTTTTGATTCTGATTGTTTTATGCATGAAGGCTCTGTCTCTCCAATTAAAATGTTAATTTTTTTAGTGACAGCAGTAAAGTCTCCTTTTAGGGTCCTCTGTGGTGCTGCATGTACAGCAGTCGGTAACTGAGTGCAAGGCCAGCCCTTACCCAGATTAGAGATCCAAAGACGTTGGATAATCCATTGCAGTACATCACCTCCTACAAAACAGAGAGGTATGTGATCAGTGTCACTGCCTCCTAACCTAGCCCAGGACCACCACGCCCTCCTCCACACAGTCCTTCTCCCTGCTTCATGGTTCATGGTCACCCTGTCTTTTATCTTCTTAACCCTCAGAGACTCCACCCCAGCCATATGTTCAATCCAAACAACTCAGAGCAATTCAGAGCCACCGAGACCTGACTCCAGAGGATCTGCAGCTTAATCCCCTTCATATGCTGTCTTCCATTTGTTCATCCATTCATTTTTGAGGTACAGTCCTACTAAGTTGCCCAGGCTGAGTATAAACCACTCTGCCTCCAGGCAGGCCTTGAACTCATAACCTTTCCATCTCAAACTCCTGAGACATCCTTTTTTAACCTTACTTGTTATATTTATCTTTTATCATACAACAATTTGTGCAGAGACCACCATTCATCACCTAAAGAGTAAACACACTATCTAAATATAGAAGAACAAAACAGATCTAAGGCCAGCTGCTCAAAGGACTCTGAGTGGCGTTTGGACACACTGGAGTGAAACAGTGAAGGATGGGAAGAAAGGAGCTAAAGGGAGAGATGGGTCTACAAAACCCAAACCCCTAGGTAGGACACTCAGGAGCCAGAGAATTCTAAATTCGAACCTTCAGGTTGGTGTGAAGGTACTTGTATTGGAGTAGGTGGAGGGAACCTATTTTAGGAACATTTTGTAGGCTGAGACTAAACTTTGAAAACTACGATGTGGGCTTCTTTTGGACTTTTGTGCTCTTGCCTCGGGCCCTGCAAATCTTAGGTGCTGGCCTGGGAACCACGCAGAGTAAAAACTGAATGAAAAAAACAAGGCAGGAGAGGCAGGCAGGGATGAGTCAAGAGAAAAGATGCACCCCCACACACCCCTGAGTATTTAGGTTTATCTAAGGGTAGAGACACCCCAAAGTCCATAGCTAAGCCCAGAGTGACTGCAGGTTCTGAACCTATTCCTCAGCCTCAGGTCTCTGGTCTCATAACCAGAGTTCCTTGTAGGAGAAGGGCAGCCACCTACCCCTCAACTCAGATGCCATCTTGCAAACACCAATGGCCACCTTTGCCAGCATCCTCAGCCTGATTCCCAAAGGTAGAGTCTGATCCCTTCCTGCGTGGGAACCAGCCCACAAAGCATGCCAGGGAATAAGTTCAGAATTTGGGGTCCTATCTCCTGTATCTTTGTGACTAGACAGTCATAAATGATGCTTCCCTCCTTGGAGGTAGGGAAGGGACATTTCATCTAGAGCCTTCCAAAGAGGCTCTTATATTCCCTGAGCCTTATTACCTGATACAGCTGTGGCTGGGCATGAATAACCTGTACCTTTTCTTCATGTTTATAAAGCCTGAAACACAGATCCCAGCCATTGTCTCCCCAGCACCTACATGTCACCACTGTTGCTTTTAACGTCTTCCACTTCCATGGCTCTTAGGTTTGACTAATCCCCAGTTGCCTGGTCAAAAGCAAAATTCTCCATCTAAAATCCCGCTTGAAATCCTAGGCCTGTGTATGTCAACTAACATTCTACCTCAAGTCTCTCTTTAAAGGCATGCAGCATGCAAGACAGCTCCAGGCAGACATCAGATTGATTAGCACTCTCCACTGAGGAGCCAAGGGCTTTCTCATTACTTAACTGCTTCCCAAAATAGATCAAATCAGTTTAGGGTGCCACCAGCATCAGCACCGCCGGGCTATGCCAGCAGCATGGCAGGCTGGCTGCTCAGGCCCCACACCAGCCGACTGTGTTCCAGGAAGCCCTAGTTCTTTCCATCAGGGAAGTTGGATGGACATTTGCTATCACTAGCGGGGCTGTGGCGGCAACAGGGCTCCTCCCTCACCATCTGTTTCTACAGCAGATGGATTCACCTGTTCTGGGCTGTATAAAAGAAGACAGACAAGGCAGGGTGGGCAGCCTCATGCAAATCCAGAAACCAAGCATAACCTGTGTTCAAGGAAAGAAAGCAGCTTACATGTGTTAATAGTAGCTAAGATGGAGTCTGAGTCATGGAGCCAGACTCAAATTCAAGGATATTCATGGGTGGGCTTAACACCATGGAGACTAGTTCCAGAACCTCTTTTTTTTTTTTTTTCAGTACTAGGGACTGAACCTAGGAATCATGCATGTTACACAAGCACTCTACCACTGAGCTAAAGCCTCAGCCCTCCTGAAGCCCTTTAGATCTCTGTGACCCCCATCTGTAAGAGAGGGGTTGTCAAGCCAGGCATGGTGGTTTTAATCCCAGCACTTGGGAGATAGAGGCAGGTAGATCTCTGTGAGTTCAAGGCCAGCCTGGTCTACATAGTGAGTTCCAGGCCAGCTGGGGCTATAGGGAAACCCTGTCTGAAAAAGACGAAGAGAGAGAGAGAGAGAGAGAGAGAGAGAGAGAGAGAGATTGTCATACCTACCCGTAACTTTACTGTGGGTGCTAGAAGAGACATGGGGCAGGAAATTGTTAGCTTTCTCCAGCCTTCAAGTATCTGCTGCACACTGAGCACTTAAGCAGCATAAACTTTCATTCCTGTAACCTTCCCAGAGGACAGGGATTACTGTTCCTACTTCAGGAAAGCCAAGAGTGGGGTCAGCCAGCTAGGAAAGGAGCCCTTGAAAGATTAGACCCCAGGTGCCTGATTCATGTGTGGGGCTCTTTGCACAGCTAACCCAGAAATGATTTACACATTCAGTAAGCTTTGGTTAGTCACCTGTATGCACACAGCCTCTCTAAGCAAGAGAAGATACCTCCCAATGAAAGGTTCCCTAATCCAGAATTAGAAAATTCAAGATAGAAATGACAGCTAATCATCAATGGGTTACGCATACCTTCAAGGACAGCTTGTCTCTCAAATGATGAGAACTGCAGAGATACCCTAAAAAGCCTCCCCATAGGTCCCTACTCTTTGGATGCCCAGAGCCACTCTGAGTCCCACTTTCCCAAGTGTTTCCTCTTCTTCCCTGAGCTGTTCTTCAGCACTACAGTAAATTCCCATTTTGCTCCAAGAAGCCAGCATGGGTCTTCCATCACTTGCACTCTAGGAGCCATTGACAGTGCATTGTCCTAGTCTTTGTTTTCCCATTGTAAAGCAGGAACTGCCTGATGAGTGGCCAAAGCCAGCACTTGCCCTCTCCATGTCTGTCAGCACCCAGAATAAAGTTGGGGTGGATATGATCACCCCCTTTTTGTGGACACATTCCAAGCAGTCAGAAGGATGATGATAGACAGCCTGCCTCTACAAGACAAGGGCACCTTGCATCAAGAATGCATAGTCATGGATCTGGGGATTGCTCATTTGGTAAAGTGCTTGCTACACAAGCGTGAAGACCTGAGTTTGATCCCCAGAACCCACATGAAAAAGAAAGAGATGGCTGCAGAGATGGATCAGTGGTTAAGAGCATGGACTGCCCTGAAGAGGACCCAGGTTTGATTCCCAGCACCCACATGGCAGCTAACAACGGTCTGTAACTCTAGTTCCAGGGGATCTGACGCCCAGTTCTGACCTCTGAGGGCACTGCATGACACGGGTGCATTTTTACACATGGAGGCAATACACTCATACACATAATAAAAGAAAGAAAGAAAGAAAGAAAGAAAGAAAGAAAGAAAGAAAGAGAGAGAGAGAGAAAGGAAGGAAGGAAGGAAGGAAGGAAGGAAGGAAGGAAGGAAGGAAGGAAGGAAGGAAGGAAGGAAGAAAAAGATATGTTAGGGAGGCAGAGACATGAAGACCCCTGGAGCTTGACAGCCAGTCAGTTTACTCAAATGGGCAAGCTCTAGGGCAGTTAGAAACCTACCTCACAAAACAAAGTGGGTAGCATCTGAGGACCAACAAGCAAAGTTGATGACCCTGGCCTCTACATGTACATGCACCTACACACACACACACACACACACACACACACACACACACAGGGGAGGAGTACATAAAATCAGGTCATGAGTAGGGTCAAGGGTGCAGGTTCTAGTGCTCAGAGACACTGTCTGCTTCTGGCAGTGACATCTGTTCTACTGCAAAACCAGATCACAAAGCATGGGTAAGAGCAAGTGAGCCAGGCATGGCGAGTGACACCTTTAATCCCAGCACTCCCACTCTGAAGGCAGAGCCAGGCAGATCTCTGTGAGTTCAAGTCCAGCCTGGTCTATATATTGAGTACCAGGCCACCTGGGGCTACAGGAAGGCCCTGTCTCAAAGAGAGAGAGAGAGAGAGAGAGAGAGAGAGAGAGAGAGAGATGCATTCTATGCTCATATCCAGCTCCTCCCTCCTGCTGATGTCCCCAAGTGATACTCTGAAGTCCCTTAAACACAAAAAGGAACTAGGAGTTCCATCCCCACGGGAAAATTTAGAATGATCTGAGTATGAATTGGAAAATAGGGAAGGGTAGAGGAAGACAAAAGGCCCGGTTTTCCCTGCCAAACAGCATTCTGGATAGTGTATATTTTAACTTAATTAAGTAGACTTAATGCAGACTGGGTATAGCCATACACTTCAGCTCTAGCTGGAGTGTCAAAGCAGCCATAGGCCATGGACATGGATGACTTCCAATAAAACTTTATTTACAAACAAAAACTGTGGGCAAATTTGACATGTATCCCTGAGTTTGTCAACCCCCTTTGTGATGTTTGTTCCAGATCAAGACCAAGTCACAAGTTACATCACCTGTCATGGCATGAGGGACACTGGTGACCAGGACCCTCTGGTTCTGCATCCTGACTCCCGTCTCTGGATTCTGCATGTCCTTCACAAGCGCCTCAATCTGCAAGACAGAACAGGAAGAGCAGCTCAGTGGAACCATTCCAGAAGCTTTTCACAGCACTGAGAAGGATCCAAACATGCAAAGGGAACCCAGGGACTTCCAACCTGGTGCAAGAACCAAAAGGGCCTTGAGCGGCTATGGTACAACCAAACTACATGCATGTTCTATGGACAGATGCCTCCCTGGACGGGGGGCTCAAAGAGATGCATTCTGACCTTGAGGGAGATGTGGCTGGAATGGCAGGTAGAGAGGCCAGGTCACAGTGGGCCACACATCCCACTCTCAGAGTGTGAGTTTGGTCTGGTAGCTTTGCTAGAGAGCATTTTAGAAATGTTCCCCCAAACAAAGAGAAGACCATAAATGCATAAAAAGAAGTTTTCTGAGGAAGAAAAAGGTGGGGTGGTTCACTCAGAGTAACTGCAACAGCCCAGGCAAGAAAGTGTGGGGCTTCCTTGCTTGCCACCATACCCTCAAGCCATCTCAGCAGAGGAGCCAAGGAGCCTTCTGATTCCACTAGAATAATTCCTAGATGTGATGATTAGCTTTAACTGTCAACTTAACACAGTCTAGAGTCACCTGAGGAAAGAGTTTCAATAAGAGATTGTCTTCATTGGGTCAGTCTGAGGGCAGGTCTATGGGGACTGTCTTAGGTTAATTGACATAGGAAGACCCAGCTCACTGTGGGCAGCACCATTCCCTAGGCTGGGGATCCTGAACTGTGTAAGAGTAGGAAAATCAAGCTGAGCATGAGCAAGTGAGCACGCGTGCATTTTCCTCTGCTCTCGGCTATGGATGTGCTGTGACTAGCTGCTTCACCTGTCTTCCCTGCTAGGCTAAACTATAACCTGGAATTGTAAGCCAAATAAACTCTTTTTCCATTAAAGTTGCTTTTGTTAGAGTATTTTGTCATAGCAACAGAAATGAAACTAGGTCCCCGGGCCTCCTCCGTTTAGCCATTGCACAGCCAAGGTCACTTCACATGTAGTGAATGGCAAAGTTGTCTTAATGCTCTGCAAGGTTGAGAATACCTGCCCACCTGACTCTTTGCCCACCCCTCCCCACCAGCATCCTCCAAACAAGCCTCATGGGACACCATCTTCCTGGCTATGTCAAGCATGCTTCCAGCCTGCCACAGGGCCTTTGTTCTGCCTTCTCCCTCTGCCCAAGAGATAGACTTGGCTCGTTCTCTCATTCTTTCCTCTTCTGACATTTCTAGAAGGACTACCCTGACCATCCTCAAAGCTGCAACTTCAGTACCCTTGGATCTCCCCCTGCTTGCTTTTCTATAGCATTCATCTAACATGCAAAGCAATTTGCCACTTTATTCAATTGTGTATTGGGTATCTCCCCTCACTCCTAGAAATTAAACTCTTGGGGCTGGTCTTTTGTCTGTTGTTTCTCTCTCCTGTATTCCAACTTCCTGGAGGAGTGTTTGATACATAAGCAGTACTCAATAAACAGCTGATGCATGAATTAATAAGCAAAGGAAGGCAGCAGCAATGGGGAAGATGGTAAGGGGCAGGGCTCTTAGAGTTTGAGTACTGCACTTATAAGTGATGCTGAAGAAAGCTGAGGATGTAGCTCCGTAGTAGAGCACTGCCTAGCATTATGGAGGTTCTGGGTTCAATCCCCAGTCTCTAGGGAAGGGTGAAAAGAAAAGAGAAGAGACAGGAGGGCAGGGGGGAGATGAGATTGGGAGGAGATGGAAGGGAAGGAGGGAGAGGGAAAAGCAATAAATAAATAAATAAATAAGAGCGCCTTCTAGAAGCACATGCTCTGTTTCAGCACAGGGCCTATAAAGGGCTGCTGGGAGACACTCAACATCTGGCAAGTGCCTGGAAATGACTGACCCAGAAGAAATGAGGGTCAGAGAGACAGGTTAGAGAGTCATAAACATCCAACAGAGTGTTGAGGCCAAAGAAATTTAACAAATAGTCCAAGGAAGATTGAACTGCACAGAGACAGCACAAGGCGAGCCCTGATTGCCTTTAGGCTTTTCATTTTTAATTATTAAAAGATGATTTTCCACTGGGCATGGTGCACATGCCTGTAACCCCAGCTCTTGGGAGGTGGAGGCGGGAGGAGCGATGCAAGTTCAAAGTCAGCCTGGTCTACAGTGAGTTCCAGGGCAGCCAGAGCTACAGAGTGAGATCCCGTGTCAATAAAAACAAAAGAAGGAGCCAACAAGGTGGTTCGGCACTTGCTGCTCAAGTAGAGAGATCTGACTTTGATCCCCAGATCCCATATAAAGGTGGAAGGAGAGAACCAACTCCATAAAGTTGTCCTCTGACCTCCACATGTACACTGTGCCACACATGCCTAACACAGACATCATATAATAATAATAATAATAATAATAATAATAATAATAATATTTTAGCAAACTTAAAAAAAATTCCCACCTGGTATGGCAGCACATGCCTGTAAACTCAGCACTCAGGAGGCAGAGGCAGGTGGATCTCTGAGTTTGAAGCCAGCCTGGTCTATATAGAGTTCTAGGCCAGCCAGGGCCACATAGGGAGACTTTGTTTCAAAAAACAAAAACGTAACAACAACAAAAAGCAACATGAAAAAATCAAATGAAAGTAAATCAACTGGTAGTTTTAAACAGAATAAACGTTTTACACTATTCACTGGATGTTGCCATTGTCATATGGTGTTTGTGGCTCATGCTGACTTCTCATGTGCAGAGACTCTAAACTCTACCTCCCTCAGGAAAGTCCTCATTAATGGAGACCACTGCATTCCCTCCCTGGATGTGTTTCCTACCATCATCATGGTTTCAACACCAGGTGTAGCCATGAGCAATGCTGGGAAATGGAAGAGATGCAGCTGTATGATCCATAAGCCCAAGAGTTCACTGCCTAGTTCAGTCATTGCTCCATCCATGAGGAAGACATTCCAAGACCCAGTGCATGCCAAAACCATAGATACTAAACCCTGGATATATTCATTTTTCCTACTCACATATACCAGTGATAAAGTTTAACTTATACATTATGCATGGTATTACATTTTGCATCTGGTTTGGATCTGAGCGGTCACCCCAAAGGCTCATATGCAAGAGCTTGGTCCCCAAGTCTGCTGAGAAGTAGGGCTTTGGGGGAAGTGATTGGATCATGAAGACTCTGATCTCATTAGTGAATCAATCAATATACAGATTCATAATAGCCTACTGAGAGGTGATGGAAATGAGGAGGCGGGAGGGAGTTGGAGAGAGTGGGATCTTTGGAGATATGCCCTTTCATGCTATATTCTGTCCTGCCTTCTGGATGGATGGATGGATGGATAGATGGATGGATGGATGGATGGATGGACGGATGGACTGAGTCCACTTAGTACTTTTGGACTGAGATGATCCCGGGTAATAATGGAGACAATTGAAACCACTGACAAAGGAAACATACCGTACCTGATATGATACAGGCAAGTCCACAAGATCATGAGAACACAGAGCCCCTGCAGAGGACCAGGGCAGCACTCCCAAGGTAAATCTTATAAGACATGTAGAAGGTAGGCAGGTCTTCCAGGCTGAAGAGCTACAGGAGCCACAAGCTCCAGATGGGAACCAGCAGATGAGAACAAAGACTTCCCCTTCTTCGTCTAGTCTAATAGCTGCAGGTACCTGGAAATACCTTCATGAGGGCTGGCCCTCAGGTCCAGCCTGCATACATCATCACTACTGCCCAAAGCAAACAGCTTCCCAATTTAAAGAGCTGGGTTCTATTACCATTATTTTCCTGCGATTTGAGTGAACAACACTTCCAACACTGTGCAGCCCACTATAATAAACACGTCCTTTACAGTTTGAAGTGCTTATGGAACCCCAGGTTTTTGCACTTCTCTTTGGAGGCTTCCTTTCTCTCTTAATGGAAGAACTTGGGACAACCCACTTAAGTCCTTGAGATCTCCTTCCTGTTCTCCAAAGTGGGGACAGGGACAGTATGTGCCTCACTAATTGATATGGCATCATAGTATCTTGGAATCTAATTAAGCAACAATGTTTAAATGCTTTATAAGGAGAGATATATGTGTGTATATAAATGCATATGTTTTATATGTATGAATATGTACAGGGTAAATATCCCTTATCCAAAATGCTTGAGACCAGAAGTGTTTTGGATTTTAGATTTTTTTCTCAGATTTTGGAATATTTGTATATACATGGCATATCTCAGGTATGGGACCCCCATAAGTCTAAATATGAAACTTGTTTTTGCTTCAGGCATACCTTATGACACATAGGCCGAAGGAAAATTTATGCAATATTCTAAATTATTTTTTACAGGAACTAAATTTTATGGAGCGGACTTTTTTTTATTGTGGCTTTATATTGATGGTCAAAAAGCTTCTGATTCTGGAGTTTTAGCTTTCAAGTTAAGGGGTTTTGGATTAGGGATGCTAATGAGCATAAACGTGCTGTCAGGAAAGACCTGCTATCTGCTCTGCTTATTATCATTTATGTTAGAAGCACTTATATAATTAATGTGTCTTGGAACCTTGCACGCAGGGGCCATGTTTAGATGACCAGTGGTAAAAAAAGAACTCAAGCAAATGCAGGTATTTGTTGAGCATATGTCAAGTGCCCGACACGGTGAAGTATGCAACCAGTATACTTTACCCTCAGTCCTCAGAGAGTTGCAGAGACCGTTACATGTAAATGAAGAGTTAACCATTATAAAAGCAAGGGATCTGGGTGCAAGGAAAGCATGGTTCAAATCCATGCTCCAATTTAAGAGTAGGTTGCTAACTTGGGGGCAGGATCTCTAGCTCAGTAGAGGACATGCTTAGCATACATGAAACCTTGAGTTCAATCCTCAGCATTAAATAATAGCTGAATTAAGCTATTAAACAATAGCTCCACAAACTGGAGACTAGTTCCTCCATGAACTAGAGACTGGAAATTACAATTTATATCATCATAGGGCTGTTGTGAAAATTAAATGAGATTAAGCATTTTGAAAGCATTAAGATGCATTACAGTATTTATGAGAAAGCAA